CAATAGCGAAAACGATTGAGCCATGTCCATCTGTCTGTCCTTCTGTCCGTATGAACGCCGAGATCTCGGGAAATATTAGAGATTCAATGTTCAGATTAGGCATAAGGATTCTTGAAGTCCTTACGCCGCGCCAGTTTATTACAGCATCCTGCCACGCCCACTCTAACGCCCACAAATCGCGAAAAACTAAAATCGCTGAAATCTCAGGAACTATTAGAGCTAGAAAGTTGAAATTCAGTATGTATAATCTTCATATGCCGGCGCATCTTATAGTGGTACTATTATCTGGCCACACACTCCCAATGCGAATTTTGTTTTTTCCGTTCAAGCCGCGTCCAGTCTAAGGCCCACAAAACCCGAAAAACCAAATATGCGAACAACAGCGAAAACGATTAAACCATGTCCGTCTGTCTGTCCGAATGAACGCCGAGATCTCAGGAAATATAAAAGTTCAGATTAAGCATTAAGATTCTTGAAGTGCCTATGCAGCGCAAGTTTATTACAGCATCCTGCCACGCCCACTCTAACGCCCACTCTAACGCCCACAAATCGCGAAAAACTAAAATCGCTGAATTCTCAGGAACTATTCGAGATAGGAAGTTGAAATTCAGTATGAATAATCTTTATATCCCAGCGCATCTTATAGTGGTACTATTATTCGGCCACACGCACCCATACGCCCATCAAGCTCAAAATACGATTTTCGCATTTTCTGGAAAAGCTTATATCTCGGTAACTATATGTGATACAAAGTTCGTATTAAGCATGTAGGTTTTCATGATGCTCCTTATGCGAATTGTTTTTTTTCGATCAAGCCACGTCCACTCTAAGGTCCACAAAACCCGAAAAACCAAAAATGCGATCAATAGCGAAAAGGATTAAGCCATGTCCGTCTGACTGTCCGAATGAACGCCGAGATCTCAGGAAATGTAAAAGTTCAGATTAAGCATAAAGATACTTGAAGTCCCTACGCAGCGCAAGTTTATTACAGCATCCTGCCACGCCCACTCTAACGCCCACAAATCGCGAAAAACTAAAATTGCTGAAATCTCACGAATTATTAAAGCTAGAAAGTTGAAATTCAGTATGTATAATCTTCATATGCCAGCGCATCTTATAGTGGTACTATTATCCGGCCACACACTCCCAATGCGAATTTTGTTTTTTCCGTTCAAGCCGCGTCCACTCTAAGGCCCACAAAACCCGAAAAACCAAATATGCGATCAATAGCGAAAACGATTAAACCATGTCCGTCTGTCTGTCCGTATGAACGCCGAGATCTCAGGAAATATAAAAGTTCAGATTAAGCATAAAGATTCCTGAAGTGGCTACGCTGCGCAAGTTTGTTACAGCATCCTGCCACGCCCACTCTAACGCCCACAAATCGCGAAAAACTAAAATTGCTGAAATCTCACGAATTATTAAAGCTAGAAAGTTGAAATTCAGTATGTATAATCTTCATATGCCAGCGCATCTTATAGTGGTACTATTATCCGGCCACACGCACCCATACGCGCACCAAGCTCAAAAGGAGTGTTCGCATATTATAGAAAAGCTGATTTCTTGGTATCTATAAGTGATAGAAAGTTATATCGGACATTTTGGCAAATAATTAGTAAAATGTAAGCCACTGTGCCAGATAAATATTATATGGAAGCAGAAAGGGAGTTTGAGAGAAACAGTTAGGGGCAAGAGAGTAAGCGAATGCAATGCGAATTTTGTTTTTTCCGATAAAGCCACGTCCACTCTAAGGCCCACAAAACCCGAAAAACCAAAAGTGCGATCAATAGCGAAAACGATTGAGCCATGTCCGTCTGTCTGTCCTTCTGTCCGTATGAACGCCGAGATCTCGGGAAATATTAGAGATACAATGTTTAGATAAGGCATAAGGAATCTTAAAGTCCCTACGCTGCGCCAGTTTATTACAGCATCCTGCCACGCCCACTCTAACGCCCACAAATCGCGAAAAACTTAAATCGCTGAAATCTCAGGAACTATTAGAGCTAGAAAGTTGAAATTCAGTTTGTATAATCTTCATATGCCGGCGCATCTTATAGTGGTACTATTATCCGGCCACACACTCCCAATGCGAATTTTGCTTTTTCCGTTCAAGCCGCGTTCACTCTAAGGCCCACAAAACCCGATAAACCAAAAATGCGATCAATAGCGAAAACGATTAAGCCATGTCCGTCTGTCTGTCCGAATGAACGCCGAGATCTCAGGAAATATAAAAGTTCAGATTAAGCATAAAGATTCTTGAAGTCCCTACGCAGCGCAAGTTTATTACAGCATCCTGCCACGCCCACTCTAACGCCCACAAATCGCGAAAAACTAAAATTGCTGAAATCTCACGAATTATTAAAGCTAGAAAGTTGAAATTCAGTATGTATAATCTTCATATGCCAGCGCATCTTATAGTGGTACTATTATCCGGCCACACGCACCCATACGCGCACCAAGCTCAAAAGGAGTGTTCGCATTTTATAGAAAAGCTGATTTCTCGGTATCTATAAGTGATAGAAAGTTATATCGGACATTGTGGCAAATAATTAGTAAAATGTAAACAACTGTGCCAGATAAATATTATAGGGAAGCAGGAAGGGAGTTTGAGAGAAACAGTTAGGGGCAAGAGAGTAAGCGAATGCAATGCGAATTTTGTTTTTTCCGATAAAGCCACGTCTACTCTAAGGCCCACAAAACCCGAAAAACCAAAAGTGCGATCAATAGCGAAAACGATTGAGCCATGTCTGTCTGTCTGTCCTTCTGTCCGTATGAACGCCGAGATCTCGGGAAATATTAGAGATACAATGTTTAGATAAGGCATAAGGAATCTTAAAGTCCCTACGCTGCGCAAGTTTATTACAGCATCCTACCACGCCCACTCTAACGCCCACAAATCGCGAAAAACTAAAATCGCTGAAATCTCAGGATTTATTAAAGCTAGAAAGTTGAAATTCAGTATGTATGTAAGGTGGCATGGGTACAATCACCTCACAAGTTGGCACACCCATCCTTGACACAAACCACCCATCATTCCTACCCTTTGCTAATATGCTAAATTTGGATAGATGAGAAGATTGCAGCGCCGAAGAAGATAAGAGAAGGAGAGTCGAGAAGTAGTCAAACAAAGCAAGTCGAAGAAGCCAGTCTCAGAAGTCGTAATAAAGTTGAAAGTTGTTAAAAGTAGTCGCGAATTTCTGTCGGTCATTGGAAATCTGTATTAACATTCATTTACCTGTTCGGCTATATACTTAATCGTATTCATATTAAATAAACCTATAATCTTATAATAAATCTTACATGGGGGCTCAACCGATCCGAGCAGCCAGTTAAATGAACTATGTGCAACAATTAACTCTTTGTGAAATTGTTTAAGAAGTTGTGAAATTATGATGAGAACAAATAAAAAGAAGAAAAATACTGCGCAAAACAATAATTCTACGACATCAAAGAAGAATCCAGAAAAACTTAACGAAGATGTGCAAAACAGCACATTTCAATTAAATAGAAGGAGCATTGGCGAAAAAACATTCAATATAGGCGATCAAAGTAGTGAAAAAGAGACAACTATTGCAGAGCTCAAGCCGTTACATACACAATCTCAACTTGACGAAAGTTTGCCATTAATATCGGACGAAGTTGACCAAGAATTTGCAGACAAAATGAGCAATATAGACTTTGAAGATACACACATTTGTGAGCAACGGGGACTTGGCCAAACTAATAAAAATGATTGCAGAAAAATGTGAAATTGGTGAAAATAAAAGTGGTGTTTCGGTGGAAAACTTTGTGAAAGTGGTTCCTAATTTTGACGGTGTCTCGATCCACATTAGGCAATGGTTGGTGAATTTTGACGAAAATGCAGAAGCTTACGAATTAAACGAGAAGCAAAAATACGTCAACGCCAGAAACAAAATGAGTGGAACAGCTAAATTGTTCCTCGAAACGGTTGCAGTATCAAACTATGAAGATTTGTGTGAAGTTTTAATTGACGAATTCGACAAACAGTTGAGTAGTGCGGAAATTCACAAAATGCTAAGAAACCGTAAAAAACGTGCGTCGGAAAATTTCCATGAATATGTTCTCCAGATGCGAAAGATTGCAGCACTGGGTCATATCGAGGATCAGTCGATAATAAGCTATATCGCAGATGGCTTAGAGGTGCGTGATGACTTAAAATTTCCACTGTATAGTTCGACGTCATTTAAGGAGCTCAGAACTCGGTTTGAGTTGGCAGAGTCGGTTGTTAAAAGCAATTCGTTTAAACGTAAGCCGAATTTCGATCGCGCTGAAAAACAGGAAAATCCATTTAACCGAAAGCAACAGCATTGCTAAAACTTTGGGTCCGCTGACCATAAGATAGCTGAGTGTAAGGGCGACCTAAAATGCTTCAAGTGCAACGGTGTGGGCCATATTGCCAAACATTGTCCAGACGTAAAGTCCAATGTGAATGTCGTGTTCAAAGAAAATCGCGTTAAGGAGATGCAAATCGGGAAAAATAAAATGATGTGTGGATGTCCTAAACGGGAACGTCCTTCTAAAGTGGTCCTGTGCCACAAGCAACTAAAGGTCCAAGTTGAATTCTAACGGTAGGCCAACTCGCTTAGACGGACGGGACAGACAATAAAGTTAATGCGCTATGGTTCAGTTGTTCTTCTTAAGTGATCTTTAATTTCCAATTCATTTGGCTTTAGAACTAATGCGCTCGCATAATTGCGCGTGTATCTGTAAGCGTGCAAATTCCAGTATGTGTGACAAAGTGAGCGTAACAATTAAAGAGCGCAATTTGTACGTACATATGTACCTTAAGAGTAGCAATTCAAGAGTCCACAGAGTAATTTTACATATGTACATATGTTCCTTAAGAGTAGTAATTCAAGAGTAAACAAAGTAAACTCAAGCTTAAGCGTATTTATAAAAATGTATGCAACTATATGAGCAATTATTTAAGTTGTTATTGAATATATCTAAACAGTAGGAGTTGCAATGAAATGAAATGATTAAACATCGGCCGCGTTGAACGGCTGCAGGGCTTCAAGATTCCTCAATTGGTAAAGGAGCTAACCGATGAATAGAACGCTTATACACGCCAGATTTAGTTCTGACGACTGCCACTCGAACCTTTCCATCCGCGCCTTTGATCACCTCCTCACCTAGCAGCCACTGCTGCGGCGGACTGTTGTCCTCGTGGACCACGACGATAGTTCCGATTTCGATGTTGTGGCTGTCGCTCAGCCACTTCTGCCGCTGCTGTAGACTCAGGACGTAATCGCGTTGCCAATCTACCCAAAAACCGTTGCTTGATGGCGGATATCAGTTCCCATCTCTTTAAGTAGCTCAGTTTGTCGTCTGTTACTGGCTGACTGAATACGAATGGCAGCGCAACGAGCGTTGTCCCGACCAACAGATGGGCTTGGGTAACTGCTTCGCCATCGTTGGGGTTGGAGCTGTCCACGACCATGGGCCTCGAATTTAGAATGGCTTCTACCTCCACCAGCACGGTGTTCAGTTCGTCCTGCCGGAGCACTGCACTTCCCACGGCCTTGATCATTAATCCTTTGGCCGATTTTACGGCCGCCTCCCAGAGGCCGCCGAAATGCGGCGCTCGGGGCGGAATGAACGAAAAAGAGATTCCTCGGGTGGCAGGAAATTCCATTATGGCATCCTTGTTGGTAAAGAAGTGATCTTTGAACTCTTGAAGCATCCGAGAGGCACCGACAAAATTGGTGGCATTGTCGCAGTAGATCTTCTGTGCCCGCCCACGCCGGCCAACAAACCTAGACAAACCCATAATAAATGATTTAGAAGTGAGGTCTGAAACAAGTTCTATGTGAACAGCCTTAGAGGCAAAGCAAACAAATATGGCAATATACATCTTTACAGCTGACTTCCCTCTAATTCCTAAGGTTACCAAGATTGGACCACAAAAGTCCACTCCACTGATCTCAAAAGGTCTATTGCCATGAAGACGATCAGCAGGTAAATTTCCCATTATTTGGGTTTCCAAAACTGGCTTATAACGAAAGCAATGTACACACTTCCGTACAATGCTATTACAAGCTTGACGAGCGTTCACCAACCAAATTTCATGCCGAAGAATAGCCACCAAGGCACGTGGTCCTGCATGAAAATTTGAATGATGTAAATATTGTAGGTATAATTTAACGAAACGGCAATCTTTTGGCACGAGTAACGGGAATTTAGCATTGTGTGGCATAGGCGCTTTCAGCAAACGACCGCCAACTCTGAGCAGCCACCACAAATGCTTGCCAGCTTGATGAGAATACAAAAATGGATTAAGTTTCTGATAGGATGGTTGTAAAATCAATGATTTTTGTAGCTTTGCAATTTCAGTTGCGAATTCGATTCGCTGCAATGCAGACACCACTGCTAAAAACGCCGAACGAAGTTCTTCTGCTGATGGCACGAGTGAAGTCTGCTTGTGCGATTTCCCATTAATAAATCGAAGCATGTATGACACGATGCGCAGAATTTTCAAATATGATGAAGACTTGTTAACCAGATCCATAAATGGATTCTTCAGTGCATCGGCCGCGAACAAGACTGTGGTATCTCTCCGCATCTCTAACACAGAGAGATCTTTGGGGGGTTCCAGGTGGTGATTTACTGGCCAATAGGCTCGGTTTTCCTTTAAGAAGTTTGGGCCCGTAAACCAAATTGATTCCACGAGCTCACTAGTTGAGCAGCCACGTGAAAGGATGTCCGCTGGATTCCCGCTGGTAGGCACATGACGCCAGACAGCTTGCGAAGTCAATTCTTGAATCTCTGCTACACGATTCGCAACAAATGTGTTCTGGTGAGTTCAACATATCCCTAATTTCACTCCATAACTTTGCCAGTAAGTGAGCAGCGCAGAGCTCCAAACGAGGCACCGACTTAGTTTTGAGAGGTGCTACTCTGGATTTTGCTGTGAGCAATCGTGTAAACGTTCTTTCCTGATGCTCCACTCTGACATAAATGCAGCAGCCGTATGCTCTCTTTGACGCATCGGCGAATCCGTGAATTTGATATTTCATATTTTTTTGCGATTCCAATATGACGAGGTATGCTGAGTGAATCTAGATTTGAAAAGCAATTAGTTACCGATTTGAATTGTTCAAGTAAATCTGTGGGCAATGCTTCATCCCAATCTAACTTATGCAGCCAGATTTCTTGAATAAGAATTTTAGCGCGAGTGACAATTGGACACAATAATCCAAGCGGGTCATATAAACTTGCTACAAACGATAAAATAGACCTTTTAGTCGGCACGAAATCGAGTGAAAGATGGTCTGCGGAGTATTTAAACACATCACTTTTGGGATTCCAAATTAAACCCAAAGTTTTGGTGTCATCTTGCGACCCAATTGGAGTGGACGCATCAGAAACTTGAAATCGTTGGCAGTTTGATGACCATTTGGCTAAACCAAATCCAAATGGTTTTAATCCAACTCCTGCTGCAACAATCCTAATTCCTCTGGCGTTTCTGCACCCGCTAATAAATCATCGACATAAAAATCATTAGCAAGTGATTTCGATGCTAATTTATGCGATGTTGCGTGTATGTCACTCAAGTATTTCAGACACCGGATAGCCAAAAAAGGTGCTGACGCAGTGCCATATGTAACTGTATTTAATTGATAAATTTGCAATTGGTCGTTAGGGTTCTCTCTCCAGATGATTAATTGAAAACATCTCTGGGTCTCGTCAATTTCCACTTGACGGTACATCTTAGTGATGTCAGCAGTAATTGCGTAAGGATGTAAACGGAAACGAAGCAAAGTTGCATAGAGAGATGGTTGTATCGTTGGACTTTCATAAAGGAGATATACATGTCACGGACTTCTGCTTGTATTCCCATTCGCCTCTCCAAGCCAAGAAATCGTCTCTTAGCTGTCTCAAAGGACGAGCCAAGACACGTCGGCCTAGATTTAAACGGCAATTTAACACTCAGCCTGCCCGAGGGTAATCTGTTTACAGATTCAGTAAACGATTGCTCGCAAAGAAGCTGTTCTGGGGTATATAAATTTGGATTCGAGATATTTGGAACTTGATCTAGCTCCCAGAACTTTTTAACAATTGAGTCTAACGACGATTCACCAGTTATACTTAATAATGATGTTGAGCAAGCTTTCTTATTTTGTGGGGTTTTACAACGACCAGACACAATCCAACCAAAAACTGTTTCATGTAAAGTTACAGAATCTTGTTTACACCTTAGACGCCCATCTTTAAGAAGATCGAAGAAAGCGTCTGCCCCAAGCAGCAAGTCTACACGTTGCGGCTTATGGAAAAGGGGGTCGGCGAGATCAATATGACTTGGAATGTTGACATTTTCCACAAGCCTTTCGGGTTGATAGGACATGATAGATTTTAGAATACTTAATTCAGTCATTGTTTCAAAGGAATTCAAACGAGAGGCAATATCAGTTTGAACGGCATGCCGAATGGCAGATTTTTCTTACCTATGCCTATTAAATTGATGTCTTTTCGAGATTTGGGTAATTTCAAAGTATTAGCAAGGTTTTCGGTAATAAAATTTACCTGAGACCCAGAGTCTAAGAGCGCTCTGGCCATGTGGTAAGATCCCAACTGATCCTTTATTTTTATTATTGCCGTAGCTAATATGACTTGATCAGAATCACTAGCAGCAAGATTAGTGGATGATAATTGACTAGATGTCGAAGTTTGTGCTGGTAGAGCTTGTCTAGAGGATTCCTCTTGAGTTTCTGTTTCGTACCTATGCAATAGAGTATGATGCGGCTTAGAACAGACTCTGCAAGTGCTCGACTTGCAGGCTATAACTGTGTGACCTTTTCGCAGGCAATTTATACACAGAGGAAACGATTTAACGAACTTGAAACGATTATTGCATGGGATAGCAGCAAAAGAAGAACAAGATTGTATATAGTGGTCATCCGATTTGCAAAACGAGCATTTTGTTTTATGCTGTTCATTTGGCTTAGCCACTGCTAGCGAAGTTCTTCCTCCCTTTTTTCCTCCATTACGCTCATATTTTTGAGCTCTACGAGCTCCCCCTCCTGAAGAATTTTCTTCAGCAGAGAGGTGCTGATACCTTTTATTAAGAGCCTTTTCGAAATCATCCCAAAGTGGTAGTTTTGTATAATCTAAATTCTCCTCCCATTTTGACTGTGTCGTAGAATCCACTTTGCTCATAACTAAGTGTATGAGCATAGCGTTGGAAATCTGTTTGTCATTTCCCAATGACAATAATGACTCATACACGGCTCTTACTGTATCTATCAAGGAACGTAAAGAGGATGAAGAAGGGCCTTGCATCTGCGGGAGTTCAAACAGCTTCGAAACGCTTTCAAAAACAATAAGACAACTATTATCATAAACGTTTTTTAAGGCAGCTAACGCTTTTGGGTAATTAGCATCGGTTACTTGATACGATTTCACCGTGCCTAAAGCCTCTTTCTCTAAGCAAGACAACAAATAGTTGAATTTTTCAACATTTGAAAGAGAAAGGTCATTCTCAACGAGGTTTTCGAAAAGTCCAATGAAATTTTTATATTCCGCATACTCCCCACTAAACCTTGGCAGCTTCATGTGAGGAAGTTTTTTGCCTTGAGCAGAAGTTACGCCTAGCATGGTTGAATTTGCTTGAGTGTTGGCGATGATGTGGTGACTAGTACCTTTGCTTTTTAATAAAGCCTTTGTTTTCGCACATAAGTCTTCTAAGTCAGCTCGAGACACAAGATCTGTATTAATGTCATCCAAATCTTGGTTAATTTTAAAGGCTTTTTCTACATATTGGTTTAGTATTTCTAAACGGCAATCAATTTCTACTGGGTCGACATACCCTGAGTACGTTTGAACTGTAGTTTTAACGCGTTCTATATCAGCAATAACATTTTTATACTGCATTAACAATGTATCGAGGTGGCTTAAAATGGTTTCACCTAGCGAACTGTTTTGACCCTTTCCCTTTTTTCCCGTCATAATTATACAACTCTGCTCCAATAGCAGCCAACAATTATCCAAACGAAATTAAATGTATTTGAGAAAAGGGAATTGATGCAACACGTGTGGCCGAATGCCAGGAAGCGAAGCACATGCACTATGTGAATATATGTATGTGTGTGTGAGGACAGGTTAAATTTCGAACAAGAGTGGCCGAACACCACTAAGCGATACACGCACTATATATATGTGTGTATGTGTGTGTTAGATGAGCGTTAAATTTCACTGCCCAAGCAGCAATACAAATAACGCAAAATCAAAGAACCGAGTTCACTGCCCAAGCAGCGAAAATGCAAAGACAAAAAAGGAATAAAATTCACTGTCCACGCAGCCAACAAAATCAAAGCAACAACAACGGATTTCGCTGCCGACGCAGCATCAGCACCAAGGCGCAAGCAAACTAATGCAAACGAGGGTGGGTAATTTGCTTTGCACAAATGACAAAAGAGAGAACTGAAAAAATGTACGGTAATTTGTCGACTGTACCGACAATGATGCGCACTTCTCTATTGGCGCAAGTCCAACGGCACTTTTTTGCACGGAATCAGGCACAAAGAACACCAAAATTATGAGCTCAAACGGCTTCTTCAAGTGCAAATCAATTAGGGTGGTCCCAAAAGGTTACCACACACAATTTATATTCGATTATTATTATTTTCTTTTTTTTTTTATATATTGCCAAATTTATTTATTTTATTCAATAGGCGGTAAATTTTGGGTTTTCAAATTTTATAGGTTTTATTTTTACACCGAGTGATAAATGAATTACCGTCCACCTTAATGCTTTAGT